CGTGTCTGCAGCTCACCGCTCCTCCCGGGGAAGGGTGTGTGATGATGACTGATGGGACTTCTCCTTATTCCTCTAAACTGTAAAAACTATAATTTTAATTTTTCAGTTTGCTTTTTGACAACCACTAATTTGTGGGAGTTAAGATCCTAAAATGTAAGCCAGTAGATGTCGCTGTGCTCTCAGACACAGTTGTTGTGGACTAATTTCTTTCTCTTTTTAAACGGGACACAGAGCCACCAGAAGGTCACACCAAAGGCATGGAGATGGGAATCCTGACTGTTATAGAAGATGATGTGGCCACTGTTCAGTCAAACCCAAATACAAGGTTCTTTGCTGTTGTACTAGAAGAACAGATTGTCCTGGATGAAGGAAGTGACCTCCCAACTCCTCTTTGGCCTGATTTATGCCCTCAACGTGGACTATCCAAAAGAACTAAAATACACTTTTGAGGCCATTCAAAAACTGTTTGTGTGCCTTGACCCTCGGTGCTCAGCAAGAGTCCAGTCCTTCAAAAACAAACTGCTCAAGTACTAATATTGTAAAGTACATTACAGGCATTTGTGTAGTCTTGCTGGCAATGTGTTGTTATTATAGCGCATGTTGATTGTCTGTTTGCTGTGACCCGGTAGTTTTATAGTACTTCTGTAATATTTTAGCAGCTTTCATTAGTTCTTTGCTGCAGCTAATTGTTAGCACTTTGTGTATAGAAGACAAAACGTTCACACATAACTACACATGTTGTGTCACAATGCCTGCACTGAAACAGATGATTTATAACACCTGATGTAAAGTGTGGCATTTTGGTATTGATGTATTTCAGTTTAATTTACCTTGAATGTTACATTCAGATTTGTACTACAGAATATGCCATTTGAAGTGCATAAGATATCTCTTTGATCAAATATTTTCTTCGTTTCAAACAGAAATGTGTCTGTTCCTTTTTTTTTCATTATACAATCTGGTAAAGTTTATCGTATTTAATAATTTACCAACTCATTTTGTTAGTTTTCATTGCTGAAGCTGTTACGGGTCATTTGCACTTTAGTTTTGCGAATATACTTAAAAGTTCACATGAAGTGCATGCTCAAGAAAACCTGCACTACAAACCGATTATTTAGTTTAAGGGGGTGATTCAGTTTCATTTAATTGACACAAAGTACTTTTAAAACAGCTCTGTGTACTTGGATAAGAAGGATTACACGTGTTCACATGTTGAACCTTTATTAAATGTGCCAGAATGTTAATAAATGTTTGTGTTCTAACTGAAAGTCTAATGCATGTCAGCTAATTGCAGAAAATACACCAAGTTCCTACGCTCTGAAAGGAGCGCTGGCAATAAAATTCATTCTGATTCTGATTCTGATTCTGATAAGTAGTTTTGATTCAACTTAAAATATTCAAGCAACTGGCTGCAGAGCTTTTTACAAGTAGGTGGTTGTGCCAACTTTTTATTTTAAGTTGGTCTGTCCCTTGACTCAATTGCTTATTTTAAGTTTAAGAAACTACTTAGTCCTATTTTGCCCAACTTAATCTTCTTATTCCAGTAAACTTTTTATTCACAGTTCTGCCAATTTTAAGTTTATTTTTGGTTTAATTCATCAAATAAAGTAGGCATGAAATGCACCCGTACATTTAGCTAACTTTGTTGTGGGACTTGGCACAGCAAAAAAGACATAATCCGTGTAGTAATCAGTACACATTACGGGTCGCCAATCACCAGAAATGAGGAGCGGGTTGCTCCAGCGTCCAGAAGCCGCTCATGACTGGCGGCGCTGAGCTGTTTGGAACCAGAACGTTGTTTAGAAATATTCAGTGTTACACGAACCACGTGACCGCCTGTCGGCGAGTTCAGGCCGTGTCGCAACCAGTGACTGTAGAAAACGTTGCAGCTAACTTCGTCAGCCATCTTTGAAATTGGAGCGTGATGTTTGCTGAAATCGTGGTTCGATTGCTCATCCTTGTGACATCATCTCAGTGTTTTTTGTACCACAAAATGAACCCATATCCACAGGAAGAAATGTTTCACAGTCAGAAATTTGCATTCACAAGAATTTTCACTCACAGCTTTCAGCTCCGTACTCACGGTTAATGCTAATGCTAATTAATGCTAATCTTCAGTGTTCAGACTCACAAATACAAGAGCAGAACTTCACGTACAACACATTTGGGACCAAGCCCCCACAACGGAGCTCTAAAATTGAGTCAATCCCGGAAGTACCAAAAATTGCAGTTCCACCCTCATCCACTAGGGACTGGTGTCAGAAGCGAGCAAATCCTCATTGACTCCCATGTTAAAAATACCAACTTCACAGCAGAAATAAACATGTTTACAGCCTGGTACCAGAACATGTTTTAGGTTTAAATGATCTAGTTTACACTAATGACAACTCTGAGGGGGGTGAATTTTTTTCTCACTCTTCTGTTTAAGTGTATTAAAAGCCTAAAATTCTGTATAATTAATGAGGATCAGACCCACGTGACCACAGAGCTAGCTCCGTGGAAAGGCCTCAGTAGAGCCTCGGTCTGGCCTGGAAACTGCTCCGGGATTTTGAGTCTCTGTGTGTGTGTGTATTCTGTTTTGGATATTGTTTGTGCAATTGTTGGACAAAATGACTTGCTGTGGCATTAATTGCACTAATAGAGCGTCCAAGGAGTCTCCACTTCATTTTTGTCGGTAAGTAAAATTATATTTATGTATTTTAGGTCACTGCCGAGCTGAGCTTAGATTTTAACATGTACTGTTTAACCATGAAATTTAAATGTAATAGGGTAAAACCCAGTGCATTTAACATAATGCTGCACTTTAGAAAATGGGTTGAAATATAACATGTTGGTGGAGCTGGGCTCCCACTATCGGCTTGTGGAGCTCTCGGGAGACCGATGTTTTCCACCCATTTCTCCCCTGGCTTCGCGGCTTCTGTCTGCTGCGCGGGCTGCCGGCTTGTGGAGCTCTGGGATGGAAACCTTTCCACCCGGTTCTCCCCAGCGGCAGCTCTGTGCATCTCAGATCGCAGCAGCGCTTGTCTGCTGTGCGGCTGCCGGCTTGTGGAGCTCTCGGAGACCTCTGTGTTCCACCGGGTTTACCCAGCGGTCAGCCTGGCGTATCTCTGACTCAGAAGCTCTGGTGTTGTGCACAGTTAACTCCGGTTGTAGCTAGTTGCCACCTCCGTTAGCTTAGCTCCCACCTCCGCGTTAGCTTTGGGTTAGCCAGGGTTAGCTTCAGGTTAGCTTGTAGCTAGTTCGACGGGGTGTCGTCAGTTGATCCCAGCCTTACAGCCCCACCCTCAGCTCCTCCTCTCTTCCCTTTTATAGAATTGTCTGGGCTTGACGGAACCTGTGACACGGTCAAAATGGCGGTGGTGGCCACCTCCCATTTGGCCTCAAAAACGTGTTATTGGAGTCTATGGAAAGGAGATGTCCAGTATATTGATGTCGATGTTTGGGACACAACTATACCTGCACACCCTGTATGGAGAGCCATCTTACACCATAACCTCTACGGGTATTCCCAAAGCTCGCACCTCCCTTGGCCGCTCCTCATTCCAGTTTGCTGCTTCCAACGACTGGAATGAGCTGCAGAACCACTGAAGCTCCCTGCCTACATCCCATTATCTACCTTCAATAACTCATGGTGATCAATAGTGTCTGACCAGTGTTCCTGCTTCTGAGTATTAAAGACGGTTCTGGTTGGTTGTACATGTATGAGAACAGCCCTTTGTCTTCATGTCTGCCTGTTTGATCTGATTTCATCTTGTATGTTTGATCTTACCTGTTGTTCTGTGGTGTAAACTATGTGTCTGTTGCTGCTGCCTCTTGGCCAGATCGCCGTTGGAAATGAGAATCAGTTCTCCATCCACTCATCTGGATAAATACAGGTTAGATAAATAAAATAAAAATAAATGTGAACCCTTGAGGGTGACCATGACCTGGATGAGCGAGAACCTTCACCAGCACATTTCTACTATTTCTAGAGCTGGCTGAATAAAAACCCTTTTCATGCTGAATCTGCTATATAAAAGCAACAAAACCACTTTTAGTCTTGATTCATTTATTAGGTTTTTACCATCTTAAGAATATCGCCAGAGTCCGCCCCATTCTCTCTCGGGCCAATGCGGAGACGCTAGTGCATGCTTTTGTAACCAGTTGAATTGATTACTGCAATGCCCTGCTTTCTGGTCTTCCCAAAAAGAGCATCTCAGGTTTACAACTTTTACAAAACTCAGCAGCACGTGTCCTGATGAAGACCAGGAAGCGGGAGCACATCACTCCGGTTTTAAAATCACTGCACTGGCTCCCCGTATGTTTCAGGATCGATTTTAAGGTTCTTTTAATGGTTTTTAAGTGTCTTAATGGTCTTGGGCCTTCTTATCTTTCAGAACTGCTTTTACTGTATAAACCCTCGCGGTCTCTGCGCTCCTCTGGCAGCCGTCTCCTAGTTATCCCTAAAGTTAAGACTCACGCCCACGGCGAGGCGTCCTTCAAGTATTACGGCCCTCGCCTTTGGAACGGGCTGCCGGAGGACCTCAGGTCCGAAGGGAACATCCAGGCTTTTAAGAATAGGCTCAAGACCCACCTTTTTAGCTTAGCTTTTAACTGATTACTATTTATCTATAAATACATATTTATCTCTTTTATTATTTTTATCATTTTATCTACATCTTAGTGTTTTTATATGATTATGTTTTCTTTTACTATCTTTATAATCACTTTTTATCAGTTACTTTTTATCATTATTAGCTTTTATTATTTTATATGTTATATATCTTAAATCCTCCAGTGTTTCCTCTGCGGAGCCCTCTGCCTTGGGGCCGGTGGTCAGGGGCGGCGGCGGCCGGGGCGCTCCCCAGGTAGTGCCCGGGCACTGGTGGGGGTTTCTGCCCTACGCCACTGGGCGTCATGGGCCGGTGTCTTGGCTGCTGCCGTGGATCTGTTGCTGCCAGGGCAGATGGCTCCGCTGATGATGTGTCGTTCATTACCTGACCCATCTGATCTCAGCCTAT